AGGAATGAAGTGGATGAAAAATGGGAGGAGGAGAGCTGGCTGAAACAATAAAACACACGATGGAAGAGAGAATGAAGTAAGTGACAGGAAACAAGGAAAATTTGAGAACAATCTGGTACAACATCTGGGAGCAATTCTTGTGGGTTTGATGGTGGAAGATGTATAACGTAAGTGAGAATCAAATAAGATGTAGTTGTGAATGCCCTTGAGTTCAGATGTTTTTAAATTAGGGCTGTTTGCACCTACAGACATTTTAGATTACCTGCCAGTTATTTGATCCAAACTTTGATGGCCAGTGGGCTGTTGATTTATTCAGCTCATATTTAACAATCTCCTTTGTACACAGCACTATGCCAGAAGCTTGCATTTTAATGATGGGCAAAATCAGATACTGTCCCTGCCCTCATGTGCAATCTGTTAACCATGCTTATCCTTCTGTTCACATGTATCTAGCCTGAAATATTTTCTTAGTCTGTGTTCACTCTTATGAAAATAAGATTTTGAAATTTACACTAACTCTAGAAATTGAAACTCGTTTCATTTCACCTGGAGTTAGTATATATAATAATAAGCTTTATAGAAAATTTTCCCAATCACATTGGATATGACTTTTGTTATTATAAACATATACTATCTTGATGACTAAATTTTGCTAGTCATTCTTGGCTGGTGATCTTTATCTGTTCGTATATGAACTTTGCACAGAAATACAAATACCCTTCACGGTTGGTCCTGTTCAGTATTAATTATCAAGCATTGCTCTTTCTTACCTTCTTTCCTTGGTGTCCTTTTGCAGGGATTGTATTCGCACATTATGGTCCAGTGTGGAGACAACAGAGGAAGTTCTCTCATTCAACTCTTCGTCATTTTGGCTTGGGAAAGCTTAGCTTGGAGCCCAAGATTATTGAGGAGTTCAAATATGTGAAAGAGGAAATGCAAAAGAATGGAGAAGTCCTCTTCAATCCTTTCCCCATTGTCAACAACGCTGTCTCTAACATAATTTGCTCCTTGTGCTTTGGCCAGCGCTTTGATTACACCAATAGTGAGTTTAAGAAAATGCTTAATTTTATGTCACGAGCGTTAGAAATCTGTCTGAACACCCAGCTCCTCTTGGTCAACATATGCTCGTGGCTTTATTACCTTCCCTTTGGACCATTTAAGGAATTAAGACAGATTGAAAAGGATTTAACTATTTTCCTTAAGAAAATCATCGAAGACCATCGAGAGTCTCTGGATGTAGAGAACCCTCAGGACTTCATAGACATGTATCTTCTCCATGTGGAGGAGGAGAGGAAAAATAATAGCAATAGTAGCTTTGATGAAGATTACTTATTTTATATCATTGGCGATCTCTTCATTGCTGGCACTGATACCACAACCAACTCTTTGCTTTGGTGCCTCCTGTATATGTCACTGAACCCCGACATACAAGGTAATAAACAGATGTTTCCTTTATTCATGGCAAAACCAGGATATTGTTTTTTTTTCATTTCCATTTAAATCAGCAACCTTTGTGATCCTGTGGCTCCCGTCAGTAAGCAATGTCTTCAGGCTGGAAAACAAAATGGAAATACTTGCATCTCACAGGGAATTGGTAAGGTGTTAACAACGAAACTCCAAGTTTCTAGACAGTGGCACTAAGGTCACAGCTTGCTTGAATCTGCTTTAAATCTCTACGGGCCTGATTCTGTGTGAAATCTATGATGAAGAAAGAACTTTAGAGAAGACTGTTTTAGAGTGAAGAGAGTCATAGTGATCATCTAAACCCACTCATCGTTTTTGGAGATGAGACCAGAGGCCCAGAGAAGTTCTGTGATTCTCACAAGGTCACAGAGCTAGTTCCGCCACATCAGTACCAATAGGTAGTGAATTTCAGTGGACGTTCATAGTGGAAGGATACAGGAGAGAATAGTGTATTCATTTTCCGTTGCTCCCACAACAAATAACCACACAGTTAGTGACAATACAAATTTGTTACGTTACAGTTCTATACGTTAGAAGTCTGACACATGTCTCAGTGAACCAAAATCAAGATGTTGGCAGGGCTGCGTCCCTTTCTGGAGGCTCTGGAGGAGAATCCATCTCCTTGCCATTTGCAGCTTCCTTGGCTCGTGGCCCCCTTGCTCCATCTTTGAAGCCAGCAGTGTTGCATCTCTCTGACCATTCTTTCACAGTCATATCTCCCTCTGACTCTAAACTGGGAAAAGTTTCCAATTTTTTTGTTTGTTTGTTTTTGGCTGCATCGGGTCTTCGTTGCTGTGCGCGGGCTTTCTCTAGGTGTGGTGAGCTGGGGCTACTCTTCGTTGCGGTGCGCGGGCTTCTCATTACGGTGGCTTCTCTTCTTGCGGAGCACAGGCTTTAGGCGCGCGGGCTCGGCAGTTGCTGTGCACAGGCTCTAAGGCGCGTGGGCTTCAGTAGTTGTGGCTCGTGGGCTCTAGAGCGCAGGCTCAGTAGTTGCGGTGCACAGGCTTAGTTGCTCTGCAGCATATGGAATCTTCCCAGACCGGGGCTCGAACCCATGTCCCCTGCATTGGCAGGCGGATTCTTAACCACTGTGCCACCAGGGAGGTCCCAGTTTTCCAATTTTAAAACCCATGTAATTAGGCTGGACACACCCAGAAAATCCAGCATAATCTCCCCATCACAAAGTCCTTAATTTAATCACATCTGCAAAGTCCCTTTTTACCATATAAGGTAGCATATTCACAGGTTCCAGGGGATTATGGCATGGACATCTTTGAGGGACCATTTCCTGCCTACTATAGATGGGATTGTGCCTACCTATATTCATTAACTATTGATGAGTAACAAATTATCCCCAAATTTAGCATCTTAAAACAACAACCATTTATTATTTCACATAGTTTCTGAGGATCAGGTATCCAGGAGCGGATTAGCCTGGATGGTCTGGTTTAGGATTTCTCATGAAGTTGTAATCAAGATGTTGGCCTGGGGCTACAAACATCTATAGACTTGACTGGGACTGAAGGATCCACTTGCAAGATGACTCATCCACGTGGCCGCTGGCTGCAGGCCTTGCCACTTGGAACTTTCCATAGGGCTGCTTTACTGGCAGCTGCCTTCCCCCAGAATGAATGACCCTAGAGAGTAAGTGGCCAGGACAAAAGCCATAGTGTCTTTTATAACCTAAGCTCAGAACGACCATGCCATTGCTTCTCCTTTATTCTGTTGGTCACATAGGCCAATTTGGAACAAAGTGGGAGGGGATGGCACGAAGTTGGGAACACCCAAGAAGTGGGGGTCTCTGGGGGTCATGTTGGGCTACCACACGTTGTCACAGGTAAAAGCTTAGCGTCGATCAGATGTTGATACGAGAGAATAATAGAGAATGCTCCTGAATCCAGAGTGCTTTCCCCTTGGCCACTCTGTCTGTTCTGCTGTCGTCCTTCAGAGTCCCAGGCCGGTACAGGGTCCCTGGGACCAGCTGCCTCCATTGGAATATCTGATCAGTGTTTCACTTCACTGAGGCCAAGTCAGGCCTGTGCTGCCAGACTTATCAGCTGTGTGGATATGGTGATGGGAAGAGTGTATGGGAGGGTAGTCTCTCCTGGCTTATCTTTTGGATTATGCTTTCCTTTTTCTTTTCTGTACAGAAAAGGTTCATGAAGAAATTGAAAGGGTCATTGGTGGTGACCGTGCCCCCTCCCTCACTGACAAGGCTCGGATGCCCTACACAGAAGCCACCATCATGGAGGTGCAGAGGCTGAGCGTGGTGGTGCCACTCTCCATCCCTCACATGACCTCAGAGAAAACAGGCAAGTCCAAGGGCCTTCCTCCTTGGAACGCCCTTGAGGGAAGCCCGTCCCCTTCATCCAGAGGACTTGAGGTGAGGTTGTGGCAAGGGTTTGTTGTCATGGGTAATCAGATGACTAGAGCATGCTTCCGCCTCAGCTGTCCCTTATTTGCTGTACCGGCTGGCGTTCCAGCCCCGCCTGTTTGGTAAATAGCTCTCTAGCCTTCAGAGCGTGCACGCTTACACTGGTCAAATTATGCTGCCGTTTAAGGTGGCTGTACTGGCAGAAAAAAACTCCAGAATTAACAGAGGCCCCTCTCTGTCCTCCTGTTCTTGGAGGTCCGAAGAGCTAGCCTAATTATGAAATTAAGGGGTTTAACTGGGAATTATTCTGCTTCATTTTTTACGGTTCTGCAACTGAAGCACAAGTATTAAAGAATTAGAAGAGCCCACCTGATTCTGAAGGCACATGTTTCAGCCTTTCACCTACAGTGTCCTTGACATTTAGGCACTCAGACTCACTGTAAGCATCCCTCATAACAAGGAGTTTTCGTCCTCTGGAGATAGCCCATGATGAAATGGGCTTAAATCTAGTTATAAGACAGTTGTAGGAGGCAATCACTTATAAATGACATTGGATCACTTAACAGTTTCTTTGGTGTAAATTAGATACAAGGTGTGTGCAGTATCCTTGGGGCATTGTTTAAAGTGCATATGAACTTGTCAGCTGGTATGAACCAGCATTGACTTCCCTGTACATCCCTTTACCTTAGTTTACCTTCTTCATTGTATTGTGTCACATAAAAGACTGGGAACTGTAAAATTGTATACAAGCATTAGGAATTTGTAATTCTTTGGGAAAGTTCACCTGAAATGCCCTATGATTTCCGTTTTAATGTTTTCTCTTAATTGTAATGTTTTTATCATTTGATTTAATTGATTAACTCAACATCCATCAGAGCAACTCCTGTCCCCTGTCTCAGGCTGGGTCCTGGGAGGGTATGGAGAGGATGCCAGTTGATAAGGTTTTGCCTCTGCCCTCAAGTACCTCAAAGTTTACTCTCAGCAAATTAAGAAGCTAGATATGTAACTAGTTTTTGTTTGTTTGTTTGTTTGTTTAGAGAGTGATGTTTACCAAGAGTTATTAGTAAAAGCATGTTGAATGATACTGTGGTTTCGTTTTGTTTTGTTTTAGTGCTCCAAGGGTATACCATTCCTAAAGGCACGATAATATTACCCAACTTGTGGTCAATACACAGAGACCCAGCCATTTGGGAGAAACCAAATGATTTCTACCCTAATCGATTTCTGGATGATCAAGGACAACTTATTAAAAAGGAAACATTTATTCCTTTTGGGATAGGTCAGTTAAACTTTTATTTTCTTAATGGCATAATTTAAAAAAGAAATAGAACCAAAAGAATCTTTTATTATTTCATGATACTCTTTTAAAAATGTTTCTTTCTTGGCAAGCTAATATAAGAGAGAAATAATTTAGATAATGTATCTCCACTATGTTTATTTCAGATTTTAAAAACAAAGTGAAAGCAGTTGGTTTTAAATCTTTAAATATGACTAGAAATCTCCCTTTTTGAGTTGTCCAGGTGATTGTTTGAGTCCCAGGGAACTGTTGGAGTTAAGAGCAGCTTCTGACCTGCCTGAATGGTGGGTGAGAGGGTGGGCTCTCTATAATCTCACCAGTCCCTCTTTTAGGTTCCTAGATTAGGGCATGTAGGCTTCTTTCTATAGACAAGGAATGCTCCAGAGATTCTTATTTGATGTCTTTTCTCCTTAATCTTCCAGGTAAGAGCAAGGAAAGAGATAAGTAAGTATGGAGGAGACAAGGTAGCCTGCCTCATTGGCTCCGTCTCTGATTCCTATCTAGGATGTGGTTAGATTTTTATGAGTAAGAGTTAAAATGTGAACTTGGTATGCAAAAATTCTGATCAGCATAGACTGTGGGAAGCCATGGGGTATATGTGGCAGTTTTATTTCGGAACTCTCTATGTCTGCGTTTAAAACACTCAATTTAGAAATTTCATAAATTTATCCCTTTTGAGGTAGGAAAAGGGCTGGTATTATAATCCTTACCTTTTTTCCTGGTCTCATTTTTAGGGAAGCGGGTATGTATGGGAGAGCAGCTGGCAAAGATGGAATTATTCCTGATGTTCGTGAGCCTAATGCAGAGTTTCACGTTTGCTTTGCCTAAGGACTCGAAGCCGATCCTGACTGGGAAATATGGTCTAACTTTAGCCCCACATCCGTTTAATATAATCATTTCAAAGAGATAAAGAACATCTCCAGGAAGAGATGGTGCAGAGAATGTAAATACATGTCCTTCTAAACAGATTCTTCCTTCTGTAATTGACAGCGGATCCAGCAACTCTGCAGGTCTAGGTTAGGCTTGGATTAGAGAGAGATTGGAAAGAGGGTAGAGCACGTGGGACCTTTCATCGTGGAGGGTTCCTCAGAAGGAAACTGCAGCCATTTTAGTAATGCACGTGACTTGGGGGATGGCGACGAAAGTACTGGATTCAGAAGCAGGGGATCCGGATTTTATTCCCAACAGCCTCCACCAATGAGCATTTCTTCTCATCCCTCAGTGCCTCAGTCATTCCACATGGAAAATGACGGTAACAAAATTTGACTTCTCGGGCTTCCCTGGTGGTGCAGTGGTTGAGAGTCCGCCTGCCGATGCAGGGGACACGGGTTCGTGCCCCGGTCCGGGAGGATCACACATGCTGCGGAGCGGCTGGGCCCGTGAGTCATGGCCGCTGAGCCTGCGCGTCCGGAGCCTGTGCTCCGCAACGGGAGAGGCCACAGCAGTGAGAGGCCCTCGTACCGCAA